TAGCGGCGAGCGTGGAAAAACAAAACAAACCCAACAAAAAAAAAAAATTTAAAAAAACCCTAAAGAAAGAGGCCGCCGGAAACCGGGGAAAAAATCCGGGGGGAAGGGAAAGGAAAAAAAAAAAGGAAAAGGCCAAAAAAAAAAAAAAAAAAAAAAAAATCCACGCCGGAATCCGGAAAAAAAATCCGGGAGGGAAAAAAAAAAAAAAAAAAAAAAAAAAGTTTAAAAAGTCAACGCCGGGGACCGGCGTTGACCGCCGGTCAACGCCGGAATCCGGCGGCAAAAAAAAGTTTTTGAAAAAAAAAAAATTTTTGAAAAAAAAAAAAATTTTGGGTCAAAATTTAATAATTTGTGAAATTTGGGGTCAAATTGAGATTAAATTAAGTTAAGGATGAAATTGAAGCATATTAAATTATACTCCAAAAAAAAGTCAAAATTGAATTTTTGTGGTCAAAATTGAACTTTTATGGACAAAATTGATTAATTTGGATTACAATTAAGAATTGGGTATAAATGATTGAGGGTAATATTGGGATATACATGAATGTTTCCTTTAGTTATAATAAATATTAAAGGGATGGACTTATTGGTGAAAGAGACATGTCCCCTATACCTAGAATAATAAACATGCTTGGTTGGGGACTTTTGCATAAAAATCCCTAAAAAAATTTGATAGCATTCTATACTTATCGTAACACAACAAAACATTCACAAATGCCCCCCAATTTATTTTCTAAAAGTTAATAAAGGCAAGGTTGATGGCATGATTAGAGCATCTCCATTTGATTGGGGTGGGGACGGAATGTGTGTTCGGACTCATTGAGGAAGAGTTGGGGTGGGGTGGGGGTGGGTAGGGTTGTTTATGGGCCGGTTTTACCCATCAACCAACCTATTTTTGACTCATATTTTTCATGGATAATCAACCATCAATCAACCCATTCAAGTTGGGTTATGATGATGTTAATTACTTAGATCACCTCGGGTAGTGCAGTAAATGAGCTAGGAGACCAAAGCGGATCAGTAGCTTGACAATTTGATAATTCTAATGTCCCTGCGAAATTAACACACGTGAACTAAGCCGGGGGTTGATCCGGCGGAAACCCCTCCGACGCTCAAGTCAGATGTACGGATCGTGGAGATGGTAGAGAGAATAAGCACTATAGATTACTTGTAAAAATAGAACGTACCTTAACAAATGAATAAAAACCTCTATTTATATGTCGTTAATTGGGTTGAGTTTATTTTGTTGGGCCCAAGCCTTATTTTGAAGGTGTTTGGGCTTTCGTGTAGTGGCGCAATTATTATATAAATTGGGGGCCCATTGGGTCGGCCCAATTAAGTATATCATTATGCCCCCCCAACTCTCGATTCGAGACCGGAGACTTGTTGAAAGGGTGTCGGGTCGTGTCGAGAGTTAATTGCGTCGTGGTTTGACGGGTTTCCATTGGCGTTGAATTAATCTCGTTATTGAAGAAGGGGCAATTGTATTTATTTGGCAGCGAGGTATATATTTAATGGGTTTTAAATAATATACCAGGGCCAGATAAATAGACTCCTTTTGCGGTGGAAATATTTAAATTCCAACTCGTGTGGAATAAATATGGGTAAGTATTTTTAACTTTGGGTCTTCTTCCGTGCTCTTGCTTCTCTATTTATTTTTTGTGGTAGAGTAGAAATTTTGTTTCTTGACTGTTTCTTCGGAGAAAAATATTAATCATGTCGAACCCGGGTAAGTCGAAATCTTTGCGAATTAAAATTCGAGATCCGGTTGAAGGGGGCAAGAAAACTTTTGGTACGGAAATCGGATCTGGGGTAGGCGGTGCACGGATCGAGGGAAGAAGGAGGTTTAATGGCGGCTTGGCTGAGGAGGACGGCTTGAGCCGTGCAGCCCCATGCCATGGTCTGGGAGAGCGCGCGAGCTTCGAGGCAGCCAACGGAGTCGGCGGCTCGGCTGGGGTGGACGGCTCGAGTGGCACGTTGACCGAGGAGAGGAGAGAGAGGGGGAGAGGGGCTGCTGGGCTGACGCGCGCGTCAACAGAGGGGAGAGGGAAACAGACGCGCCCGTCTGGGGCGGGGTTGGGGCGACGCGCGCGCGTGTCATCACGCTGGGGCTGCTGCGCGTGGCAGCGCGTTGGGGGCGCGTGGAGGCGCGTCAGGGGGAGGCTTTTCGGGCGCGTGAAGGCGCGTCGGGACCCTTTTTTCGGCGCTCGTCGCGCGAGAGCGATGGTTGAGCGGAGGAGGGTTTTGACTCATTTGATGACGTGAATAGGAGGGGTTCTGGATGGCTAGAAGCCATTGATTCGTGGATTGATGACGTAGGAACGAGTGTTAATGTTCGTCATATTATTGATGGGGCTGGCTCTAGTGGATGTCGTTATGAGCGTCAAGTTGTTGATTTTGGGAGCGATAGTGATGAGTCAAATCAATCACGTTCATCAAGTGAGCCCGCGGGATCGGATGGCGAAGTGGAAGCGATGGTTGAAGTGGAAGAGGAAGATGATATTCCGCTGGGTGATGTTGAGATGGATACGAGGATTAAGCCAATCAATCTTGACTTAATTGATTTTGACAGTGTATTGACTGAGGAGCATTTGCGGTCTATTCGTCGATTAGTGGGAGGGCCAAGAAATATCGAGTTGCTTTTGCCTCAGAAAGGCGAGCATTTATATTCGCCGCCTGTTGCGTTTCATACGGTTTACTTGGCGTACGTGACGTGTACTTCTCAGATCACTCCGCATCCGACCTTGTTGAAGATTTGTGATGAATTTAAGATATGGTATAGTCAGTTATCTCCGACCGTGCTTCTTATGTTCGAGGTGTTTCACCATAGAGCGTCGCAAGTAGGTTTGCCCAGTACTGTGAATTTGTTCAAGACGTTGTTTACATTGCATCGGCCGAATAAGCTGCCCTTTTTTTGCGTTCATCCGCGAGTTCCTTACCAATTTTTAAAGAGTGTGAAGTTGTCCTTGGGGAATTGGAAGTCCCGTTTCTTTTATGTGAGGGCTCCCTCTTTTGATGTCCCCCTAATTCGGAAATCTACGTGTGTGAGTTTCAAAATTACAGCGAATATGGCGAAGATGATTGAAGAATCTAGGCTGTGTGATGTGGAATTTGACTCGAGGTGTTTGATACCGGATGGCATATCTTTTTGCTGCATCGAATTTTTTTTTTTTTTTTTTTTTTTTTTTT